AGGTGGCCCCTGGAAGGCTGTCCACTAGGGAAGGTGGCCCTCAGCCCAACAAAAGTTCTCTACCCTGCTGCAACATGTGAGCATACTCTTGGCAGCCTGGTTCATAAACCATGTGTAAATTATTGGCGATGGGCAGGAGGAACTGCAGCGAGACAGAGCACCTAAATTCTTGAAAACAGCCTGTACTAGAAATCATAAACTCATCTCCCAGTAGGGAAAGGAGAGACAATCAATTCTGTTCACATTTAAAGGCAACGCTACCTAATCCCCACTTCCCAAAACAGTACACAAACTGAAACGCATCCCCTCTTTGAAATTCACACTTGTCTGAATTTTGCAATTCACTTCTCCAGATCAGCACTGCGTACCTGGGCCCATCACAATGCACACAGGATTTATGTTTACTCTTCCTCCAAGGAGCTCTGTGTGGTTTTTGCACAGTTCTCCTCTCCATTTTATCCTCACAACAACCATGGGAGGTAGAGGAGGCTGAGAGCAAGTGACTAGCCGAAGACCATGGCTAGGGTTGCCAGTTCAAACACTACAGTATTTGAAATACGGCAACTCTATTCATGGCTGAGTGGGGATTCGAACTCTGGTCACCCAGGTCCTAGACCGACAAACTAACCACTACGCCATGCTCGCTCTCTAGTAAGAAGAATGCACCCAAATGCTTTGTACCAGTGGAACTTCCTTTGCAAAAATGTGTAGCTAGGCAAAGTTGGGTACAGTGATGGAGAAATTTGCATGAAAACGCTGATGGATTTCCACGACGACTTTTTTAAAAATCACAAACTGATGCAGAGAACTAAACTTAGGACTGTAGAAATGAGGAACAGAGAGAAACTGAAATGGACAGATTTCCCTTCCTCCCTGCTGAGTGAATCTTTGCTGCCCAATGTTTAATCCTCCTTGCCCAAACGCAACCAGGCTCCAGTCTATTTTCTGCTGTCAAATCTCATCCCCTTTTCTCTGCTCTTTGGTTGCCATGGAAAAGAATTGATCTTTATATCATCTTCCGAAGAAAAACAGTGCCTCTCCACCCCCTTTGGAAGACACCACCAATGCCCCATGGCTGTCAATCTTCTTGACTTGCATCTAAAAGGGACAACGGGGACCCGGGGAGCGTGTTCCGTATGAAACTGGGTCAAGGGGGAGCAAATGAACCAAACCCCAGGTGCATTGTGGGGGGGAAACCTGCAACATTTGTTTTCAGAGAGAGAGACCAAAGGAGCAGAGCTCATTCAGGTGCTCTGCCCCAGGACCTGTTTTTATTATTTACGACCAAAAAAAAAGTGCCTGTGCTTTGGATGGAGAATATCTATATATTGCGGGGAGCCCATTATACCTCCTCCAGTGAGCAGCCTGCCTGAGGGGACCTGGGCTGCTCAGCAATGGGGGCAGCGAGCAGATGGTCTGTTCCAGCATGTTGAATAATGCTGGGCTTTATTTCCCCCAATAGGACAGAATGGATGGCCCCCTTGGTGGTTTTGGCTGTTCGCCGCTGCATCTTAGATGGCAAAGGGAAAAGCTCAGTGACGGAGCATTTGCTTTCCATGCAAGAAGGCCCAGATTCCATCTCCAGGGAGCACATAAACTGTGGAACTCTCTCTCACAGAAGGAAGTGATGGCCACCAAGCAACTGAGATGGCTTTAAAAGAGGATTAGACAAATTCACAGAGGAGAGGGCTACCGAAGGCTACCAAGCCATGATGACTATGCTCTGCCTCCACAGTTGCTTCTGAATACCAGAAAGCACAAGAGGGGAGAGGGCTCTTGTGCTCAGATCCTGCTTGTGAGTTTCCCACAAGCATCTGGTTGGCCACTGTGAGAACAGGATGCTGGACTAGATGGGCCATTGGCCTGATCCAGTAGGCTCTTCTCATGTTCTTAGCTGCTGCCAGTCATTGGGCAGACAACTCTGAGCTAGACTGACCAAGGATCTGACTCCATATACAGTCATACCTCTTGTTACATTTGCTTCATGATACGTTTTTTCAGGTTGCGTCCCGTGGCAACCCGGAAGTGCTGGAAAGGGTTACTTCTGGGTTTCGCCATTCGCGCATGCGCAGACACGCAAAATGACATCACGCACATGTGCAGAAGCAGCGAATCACGACCCGTGCGTGCACAGATGTGGGCTGCGTTCCTTTCAGGTTGCAAACGGGGCTCCAGAACGGATCCTGTTCGCAACCAGAGGTACCACTGTAAAGCAGATTCTGAGGTTACCCATTGACTCTAGTTCCATAGAATTCATTGGGAGTCACTTCAGTTGGATATCTCAGTGGGTTGGAGGGTAGTGCTGATAATGCCAAGGTTGCATGTTCATTGCCCGGATGGGACAGGTGCATATCCCTGCACTGTTGAGCGTTGGGCAAGATTTATCCTCATGGTCCTTCCAACTCTATGATTCTAAAACAGTCATACCTTGGTTCTCGAACGGAATCTGTTCCGGAAGTCAATTCGACTCCCGAAAATGTTCAAAAACCAAGGCGCGGCTTCCGATTGGCTGCAGGAGCTTTCTGCACTCAATCAGAAGCCACGGAAGTCGGATATTCCATTTCCCAAAAAACATTTGCAAACTGGAACACTCAATTTCGGGTTTGTGGATTTCGGGAGCCAAAACGTTCGAGTCACAAGGCATTCCAGAACCAAGGAACAACTGTAATTGTTTTTAATGATTTCCCCCTTATCTTTTTAGCTGTTGTTATTTTTATCTGTAAGCTGCCTTGAGTCCCTGTAGGGAGAAAAGGCAGGTTAACAACAACATCATAAATTATTTCCAACAATAAGGAACATGTGGATCTATACAGGGAAGGAGTGCTCAATGTAACTCCCCCAAAGCAGGATAGCTTGGAGGGGGAGCCAATATATATATTATATTGGTGCAGATATATATTAATTATACCCACCTTCAGTCCTTGGGACTGGAGAGGATAAGGCTGCTATCAATGGGTACCAGCCAATATGGCTGTTGAAGGCAGTATGTGCCTCTGAAGACCAGTTGCTGGGAATCACTGTTGACATTTCCATTCCACCTTAAGAACAGGCGTGTGGAATTGTTGCATGTCACATGTCTGTTTACATTCCAGCACAGTATGCTGGGAACTTCCGTTGTGTGTATAGCTTTTGCTTTTAGCTGTTCTCTCTGAGACGACATGAGAGAGAGAGACGACATGTTTCTTTGTCCTGATTTATGATTAATAAAACTGTAGTTATAGTATGCTTCCACAAGCCTCATGCCTATTCTGTGTGCGCAGTTCGATCTGCTGATAGTGTGCCTTGGCTTTGAAGCCCGGGTCGCTGATTTACATAGGAGCAGAAGTGATGGTCTTCGCAGCGGGATGGCTGGAAGGAGACGGCCCAGCCAGGGCTCGCCAGCTGGCCTCCTGGCCCTCTGCATGCAGACAATCACAAGTAGAGAGAGTTGCTCTTGTGCTCACGATCTGCTTGGGGGCTTCCCATATAGCCCCCTGGCTGGCCCCTGTGAGAACAGGAAACTGGATGAGATGGGGCCCCTTTGCCCTGATCCAGCAGGGCTTGTCTTACATTCTTAAGCTCAGGATGTGAAATAAATAGATGGTGGACTATGGAATGGCTGGGTAGAGTGGGAGAGAGAGAAGGAGCTTATTTAAAGAAGCCGTTTAAAAACAACAATAACCAACAACTTTAAATGGTTTCTTTAAATAAGCTGATTCTTTCTTCCAAAACACACTCCAAGTTTCACCCTCTATTTATTTCACATCCTGAGCTTAAGAACATAAGAACCTAGTGGATTTTAAATGAGGGTCAGGCATGGAAACAGCCTTTTCCCCTTGGAATAAACTTGACCAACTGGAGGTTGGATCAAAAATGTGTCTCATGCACAACAGGGAGAGAGATTTTTTAATGATGCCGGGAAGCAGCAAAAGACCAGCACGGATCCGGAAGGGCAGAATGTGAAAGAGAAGGAGAGGAGAAGGGGTGGAGGAGTCATAATCGATGTGGAGGAGGGAGGGGCCAAATCAATACAACTGGGGGCTGGTGGGGCGGGTGGGTTGGGAAAATACCTCCAGAGGAAGAAAAGGAGGCAGAAAATGAGAGGAACAATGCAGCAAATAGCAAAGGAGGAGGAACAATAGCGACTGTGATTTAATTTATTTTTTTTCCCAGGCAGCCAAGAAAATCCCAGGGGTTGATGGTCTGAAACCACGACAAAACACTATTTGTATCGCTGTTATTCTTTGCTATAGCGACATAAAGCAACCAAGCGTGGACAGATAAAACAAAACAAAAGGCAGGATGCCCCAAAGGGAGGTGAAACTGTCACAGGCAAACAAAGACACATGCGGCAGCCGAGGGCGTAGCCGAGTGGCCTGGGCTCAAGGGTAAGTGTGTGTGTCCTGCTCACAGACTCCTCATCGTGGCATCTGGTCGGCCACTGGGAGAACAGGATCTGCATTATGATGGGGCCCCTCTGGCCTGATCCAGCACTCAGGCCCTATTGACCTTCTTCTTCAGAAAGTCTCCCATGTTAGCTGGTTTCATCTTCTTGCCCTTTCTGCAGCCAAAATGGCCCTGTCTGCAGGCTTCTTGTGGCCATCTGGTTGTCTATCCTGGCCACTGTTAAGATACCATGGATACGGGATGTGGTCGAAACCACTGAGCCTCTTGGGTTTGCCAGTTGGAAGGTCGGCGGTTTGAATCCCTGAGACAGACTGAGCTCCCGTTGCTCTGTCCCAGTTCCTGCCAACCTAGCAGTTCGAAAGCACGCCAGTGCAAGTAGATAAATAGGTACCACTGCGGTGGGAAGGTAAACGCCGTTTCTGTGCGCTCTGGTTTCCATCACAGTGTCCCATTGCACCAGAAGTGGTTTAGTCATGCTGACCACATGACCCAGAAAGTGGTCTGAGGACAAACGCCGGCTTCCTTAGCCTGAAAGCGAGATGAGCGCCGCAACCCCATAGTTGCCTTTGACTGGACTTAACCATCCAGGGATCCTTTAGCGACCTTTTTACCATGGATAGCTCAGTCGGTAGAGCATGAGTCTCTTAATCTCAGGGTTGTGGGTTTGAGCACAGGATGCAACCCATGGTCTCCGAGCCTAAAATACCTCACAGGGTGGTTGTGAGGATAAAATGAAGACGTGAGCAGGAGCATCATTTATGCCACCTTGAACTCCTTGGAGGCAGGATATGAATGTGATAAATAGTAGATGGAAGGATAAGAGCACGAGACTCATAATCTCAGGGTTGTGGGTTTGCTTATATTAATTTATAGGTTTTAGTCAGGAATAGAATATTTTTACTGAACAAATGTTTTCACTGTTAGTGTCATCTGATAATGTTTCTCTCCCTCCCCACCCAATATTATATCTTCACAAAATAAAATAAAAGAAACCCTGCCAGATTACATTTCTCCCAGTCATGAGATTCCGACTGGGGACCTGTGGAAACTGCATGCTTGCCTGGCACTGGAGGCATTTGGGGGGGGGGGGAGCATACAAAAAAATGCCAAGGGAATGGAGCAATGGATCACAAAGCATTTGGCTTAAGATGCCGGCAAGGCCCGGAACGGAGTCCTGCCTGAGGCGACGGCTGCCAGGACCTGCTTGCATGTGATAACAGCTGCCCCTGACAAGGAATGCAAGCAGAGCGTTTTGGAGCCAGTCCAACTGCTGTTCCCTGGGGATTGCAAGGCAACTGTGGACACCCTGCAGGCGGCGAGATGCTATGGATTCGCTCCGCTCCAAGGGCAGTGGAGCAGACGCCTGCTCATGAGACAAAGGAGCAGGAGGGAAGGAGGGGGAGACTGGAAAATAGGCCGCGTGTCCTACTTAAGAACATAGGTAGCTGCATTATACATACCTTCCAACATTTCTGCAATGAAAATTAGGGATGCCCTATTATTATTATTATTTTATTTATACCATGCCCATCTGACAGGGTTGCCCCAGACACTCTGGTAGCTTTCAACATATATACATGTGTGTGTGTGTGTGTGTGTGTGTGTGTGTAGCATGGGTTGCTAGTGTCTAGAGCCACACGAACGGCAGGGTGGGTGGTTAGGGAAACAGACGGAGTATGCATGCACATTCAACTGCCTAATGGCATCTATGTCACCTGGAAGATCACAACCACAGAGACAACATAAGATTCTGTTGTTCGGAGAGGTCACTTCCTGGTTCGCATGGAGAAGCTGTTTTCAATGGAGCCCAGCGACGGAAGCATGCAGCTGTATTGAGGTAGCACTGGATGTTGAAATTTTGTGCTCCTAACCATTTTGTTACGCGGATGGTGCTGTGGGTTAAACCACAGAGCCTAGGACTTGCTGATCAGAAGGTCGGCGGTTCAAATCCCCATGATGGGGTGAGCTCCCGTTACTTGGTCCCAGCTCCTGCCCACCCAGCAGTTTGAAAGCATGTCAAAGTGCAAGTAGATAAATAGGTACCGCTCCGGTGGGAAGGTAAACGGCATTTCTGTGCACTGCTCTGGTTTTTCCAGAAGCGGCTTAGTCATGCTGGCCACATGACCCGGAAAAACTGTCTGCGGACAAACGCCGGCTCCCTTGGCCAGTAGATGAGCACTGTAACCCCAGAGTTGTTCGCGACACTGGACTTAACTGTCAGGGGTCCTTTACCTTTTTAACCATTTTGTGCCCCGGGCAACCACCCCTGTGGTCCTCCTATGCCACACCACTGTTGTGCACCATGGTGTGTCCTCAGACTCCCAACTATTGACACCCACCAAAAGGAATGGTGTGGAATTCCTCCAATCACAAATTGGCTAAAGGAACACGAGCAGCAGAAGGGAAATATGCCAGTCTAAAATCCTGAAATTTGCTTCCAGTGAGTTTAGTACATTAGGAGGGCCACATAACCTTCTGTGCAACCTTCCGAGGGCCACATTCCAGCGGTGGGCACGGCCAGAGGGGAAGGTGGGAGGAGCAACATAGGTGTTTACTTCTGAACCAGTATGTTAGAGTTTCTTTCTCTAGCCTCCATTCAGGCAGGCAAGAAGCATTACAGTGGTACCTCAGGTTACATACGCTTCAGGTTACAGACAGCGCTAACCCAGAAATAGTACTTCAGGTTAAGAACTTTGCTTCAGGATGAGAACAGAAATCGTGCTCCAGCGGCGCAGCGGCAGCAGGAGGCCCCATTAGCTAAAGTGGTCCTTCAGGTTAAGAACAGTTTCAGGTTAAGTACGGACCTCCGGAATGAATTAAGTACTTAATCCGAGGTACCACTGTATCAGAGTTCAAGGACACAATCCAGCCAGACAATACTCTCAGGGTACAGCCAGCAGAAAGTGCTGAGGACCACCCAGAGAGACCTGGAGGGTTGCATTCGGATCCTGGGCCCGAGGGTCCACAACCCTGGTGCTGATAGCACTGAATTAGAAGGACTAATGGTCTGATAAGGCAGCTTTTTGTATTCCTATTAAAATCAGCCCCTCATTCAAAACAATGAGGACCGGGACCTTCATTTAATTTTAGTAAAAAGGTCAAGCCTTGTAGTACAGCATATGCTTTGCATGTAAAATGTCATGGGTTAAATCCTGGGCATCTCCAGTTTCCTGTCTGAAAACTTGTAGAGCTGCTGCCAGTCTGTGTAGACAATATGAGGCTAGATGGACCAATATCTTCCTTTGCTCCTGCTTTGTATGGGCTGAAACAGGCAGGATAAATGGGGAATGAGCAGAGGGGGGAGCTGACAGGATCAGCCGAGAGGCTTCCCTGGGTGAGTGACACAGTTCAGGCAGAAGAAGAGCGTTTTGTCGATTTTCTTCATCAATGTTTCCCTCCACGTACAGAAGAATTTCCCTTTCTGGAACAAAGTTTCCCTCCAGACTCATGTTAGAGTTGTTAGGTGACATTTTATGCCATAATGACACAAAATAAGTTGGGAGGGGGAATACATAATTAAAAAAAAAAATCATTGCAACTCATAACACAGGTTAAGAACATTAGGGACTTGATCTATTTTCGCTTAGAGGTTATTGCTTAGCTATATCAGGTCAAGCTTTTTGTCTACTGAGTCTAGTATTGCCAACTCTGACTGGCAGCTGCTGTAACTGGAGATGCTGGGGGTTGAACTGTGAGTCATTTTGGACTCACAGCTGTCCATGGAGGAGCAGGTCAATTCTGTGCCCAGGGCAGCTGTCTACCAGCTCCATCTGGTACGCAGGCTGAGACCCTACCTACCTGCGGACTGTCTTGCCAGAGTGGTGCATGCTCTGGTTATCTCCCGCTTGGACTACTGCAATGCGCTCTACATGGGGCTACCTTTGAAGGTGACCTGGAAACTACAACTAATCCAGAATGCGGCAGCTGGACTGGTGCCTGGGAGTGGCCGCTGAAACCATATAACACCAGTCTTGAAAGACCTACATTGGTTCCCAGTACGTTTCCGAGCACAATTCAAAGTGTTGGTGTTGACCTTTAAAGCCCTAAACGGCCTCAGTCCAGTATATCTGAAGGAGCGTCTCCACCCCCATCGTTCTACCCGGACACTGAGGTCCAGCACCGAGGGCCTTCTGGCGGTTCCCTCACTGCGAGAGGCTAAGTTACAGGGAACCAGGCAGAGGGCCTTCTCGGTAGTGGCGCCCTCCCTGTGGAATGCCCTCCCACCAGATGTCAAAGAGAACAACAACTACCAGACTTTTAGAAGACATCTGAAGGCAGCCCTGTTTAGGGAAGCTTTTAATGTCTGATGTATTACAGTATTTTAATATTTTTTGGAAGCCGCCCAGAGTGGCTGGGGAAGCCCAGCCAGATGGGCGGGGTATAAATAATAAATTATATTATTATTATTATTATTATTATTATTATTATTATTGAACCTGGAGCCTTCTGCATGAAGAGCAGGTGCTCTACCATTGAGCTATGGTGCTTCCCCCAAACGGTACTGAATTTGCATGGGCTGGAAGTGGGCAGAGCAACTAATGCAAATATTTCCTTTGTACAGTAGATTAGTTTGTGTACACATTCACTGCTCTCTACCCTCCATTCAGGAAAGCCAGAGGCATTATCTGTTTGTTTGTTTGTTTGTTCTCCTTCGTTCTGCCCGGACACTGAGGTCCAGCGCCGAGGGCCTTCTGGCGGTTCCCTCGCTACGAGAAGCCAAATTACAGGGAACCAGGCAGAGGGCCTTCTCGGCACCCACCCTGTGGAACACCCTCCCACCAGATGTCAAAGAGAAAAATAACTACCAAACTTTTAGAAGACATCTGAAGGCAGCCCTGTTTAGGGAAGCTGTTAATGTTTAATAGGTTATTGTATTTTAGTGTTTTGTTGGAAGCCGCCCAGAGTGGCTGGGGAAACCCAGCCAGATGGGCGGGGTATAAATAAATTATTATTATTATTATTATTATTATTATTTGTTTGTTTTCTATACTGGCCTTCATCAGATGATCACACGGCCGTTTACAACATAAAAACACAAAAATACATACTTTAATTACAAACGAAAACAATAACGCCCCTTACACACAGTTTAAAAGTTTAAAAGGCCACAGATTATTTAATTAACCAAAAGCCTGGGAGAAGATAAATGTTTTTGCCTGGAGCCTGAAGATATGTAATGAAGGCGCCAGGCGAGTCTCCCTGGGGAGAATTAAAGGAACCAAAGAGGGTGAAAAGCAGGGCTGGTGAAGGGTGTGGCCCAAGGAGAGTCTCAAGGGCCAGACAGAGAAGCCTGGAGGGCCACATCTGGACATCTGTCCTAAGATTCCCCACCTATGCTTTACGGCAGGGATGAGGAATCTGCAACAACTCCCATCACTCCTGGCTATTAGCCACACTGGCAGGGCCTGCTGGGAGCTGGAGTCCAGTAATATCTGGAGAACCAAAAGTTCTCCAACTCCCTGGTTTATGGTGTTAAGCACATGTTGGGACAAAACTCCAAGAACTTCCCACAAGAAAAATGTGCGGCAATTGGTGGTGCAAACACACACCAGTGCTCTAAATATCTGGGTAGGTAAAGGTAAAGGGACCCCTGACCATTAAGTCCAGTTGTGGCAGACTCTGGGGTTGCGGGGCTCATCTCGCTTTCTTGGCCAAGGGAGCCGGCGTACAGCTTCCGGGTCATGTCGCCAGCAT